CCTTTAAAGCAGCTTAAATTTCCAGAGGTAAAATGGATGTTACAAAATTACAGCTCACCAGGTTTTTGTTACAAGATTTCTGCAAGTCTTCACAGTAAAAGCAGAAAAGATCTGAGAAGAATGTGTTCAGCTAATCTCACAAACTCTTGAGAAACTTGGCAGGGCTAAGTTCAAACATATGAAAAAAAAATAACCTGCAATAAGTTTTGTGTTGTATTTGAAAACCTAAAGTTTTCAAAATGACTGCATATAGTAAAAACAAAAAGCAAAACAAATCCGAAAAACTTAGCCAAGTCCAAATAATCTAAAACAACTTTATCCAGGTTCTGAGTGGAAAAATATGAATAAATGAGAGTAATATGTTGTGTATAAACAAGAAGGAGAGCCTCAAATTGTTCCAGTATGTCATGATGTGCAAGTTTACTATGTGCATAGGTGTTTGCAAAATGAATACCTAAGAATTACAATTTCTTAGACATTTAGGTGAAGAAATATGCACTATATAAAAGGGGTTAATGTGTCAGTGTGTATTTTTAAAATAGACAATTAAGGGTCTGGATACGAATAGATTTGTCTTCTGAGTGCCATGTGCAGTTTGAAAACAATTACAGCACAGATTACCAACAGGGTTTTCTGTCTGTATTGGTCTTATTAAAAGCAGTGCTACTGTACCAGAGATTAATTTACCTGTTGTTTTATTTTATTATATATCCCATGTTATCATCTTAATCTCTGTAAGTGGGATACTGTTTTTAGTGATTCGAATGTCATTTCATCCATATCAGGGATTCACTGTCAGGCTTTTACTAACTCTCCCAGCCCAAAGAACTGAAGCATAAACAAGCAAGATCTGTACAGCATGGTATCAATTGCCCACGACTATATTCTGATCAAAAAACGTAGTGAAACCTGCAAAGCTGAGTCATATGGGGGGTTAGATTCCTGTGAGACTGTAGGGCTCATCCTGTAACTGAGTAACAATACCAATATTTCTCTCAGTTTACTGGAGGAAAGACTTGTTTATTTGGAGGCCATCACTAGATAACTGACAGATTACTGTAAAATGTAGAAATTATAACTATAAATTATTGTTTTCAGAGTGAATTTTAAAGACTTTTTCAGCCTATGATCTTCCTTAACCTCAGAGCTTCCTGAAATATCATTTTCCACTATAAATATGTATTTTTATTAAGACCTCTAAGCCAAAAACCAGAAGGGTAAAATGTTTGTTTTTGTAATGATGGCAGTTTATTCATCATTGCCATCACAGACAGCCTTTGGTACCTGGAGAAAGCACAGCTGTGGACTCCTTGAATTTTGAGGACACTTGAGAGCCTTTCACAACCATAAGGCACAAGACAAATGAGATGACTGCTTCAGGCATGAGAGTTGCTGCAATCGCGCAGCCAAATAGCTGCCTGCTGAGCTAGCTCTGCTGCCAAAGACCCGCTATATCTGACTACAGGGAGGGACAGCTTCAGGGCAGCATGATCTGGCAGAGCGAGCTGTGGACAGGGAAAAAAGAACTAAGCTCAGCTTGACGCTGATTTCTTCCACATCCTGCATGAAACCACAAAAGCAAATCTATGCAAACTCAGGCAGCCACAGTAATTACCTACTACTCCCGTTGACTTGAATACGTATTCTCAAGGTACTTGAGTTTGGCAGGATCTGCTCCAAAGATCACTGTTGCCAAAGGAAAGACTCCCATTGTTGGCCTCATTAATATGGATCACGCCATACATTTCATTCACAGAGCAAAAAACGCAGTCCGAAATGAGACTAATGTTGCGTCCCATTACATATATACCTGTGGTAGTATGTCTGTATTTCTGTAAGCATGCACGTGCATTATCCTCTATGAGTATAGCACAAAATTTGGAAATACACACTGCAATGGTTCTGTATCTCCCAGGGACTGGACTAAACAGTTTTTAGAGAGCTTGGCACTATCAGGGGGTACAGAACAGCTTCCTCAGCAAGCATTCTGTGCAAGGTGGCTGGAGTCATGTATTTTTGAGTGACTAGGTCTGCATATATTTTCACAAAAGATTTGACAGTGCTTGAACATAGTTAGGACAGAGAAACCAGCAGATGGAACTTATGCTTGGCAGAAGCAGGCGGTAAAGCACTTTGGAAACTTTGAGTACAGCAATGCTGTGCTGGAGCTCAGGGCTTGGACATGTCCAGGACAAACCATTACCTCCCAAATTAACAAGAGGAATGACATAGGCAGTAAATGAGGTCTAGGATCTGTGTCCACGTCTTTCCTTCCAAAAGACAATTTTGAATAATGCTGACAGTTTAGTCATTCACTGACTTCTTAAAACCTGAACTAGGACTTTTATTCGCACAGGTCCGTATATGCTGCATCAACCCTCTTGTACTGTACTTTGTGTGGGTTAGATCTATATGACAGCATTATCTAATATGTGATTTTGTGATTCTACGACTAAGTGTAGAGTGGCAACATCACAGAAAAGTGGTAATCTCCAAAACATTACACTGGAAAGGAGCAAGATTCATTTTGTAGAGGCCATGCACAGAACAAAAGAATCCACTGTTCATATTTTATACAATTTGATAATAGGTGAAAAGAAACAATGTGACTTTTTAAAATGTCTTATGTGATTTTCTGCATCTACATTTTTCTACTAGAAAAAAAAAAAAGCAAACACAGAAGTTTGTTAAATCCCAGAATTTCAGTTTCCGAACAGATTATTTTGAACAGGATATCAGACGAACTGCAGATACCCGAGGTACTAAAATACTAAAGCTGACCTTTTCTCAATTATAATTATTTAGCCTCCTAGAAGATGATCATCACTTAAGATAAAATCAATACTTGTATTTCCATCAGTACGGTACACTATCAACTCTGAGAAATAACACATCTTTACAATGTTCATAACAAGCAGATTTAAGGGAGGATATAAAGTCTCAAAGTTGTTACACAATTTCTATGTTATGCCAGAAAAACTCCGTAAAACACCCCTTTCAAAATCTGTTTCTTATTAGGCAATTGTATTTAAAAAAAAAAAAAAAAAAAAGATTTTTTGATTTGCGTTTTGTCCAAATCAGATTCGTTTATCTCTTGTCTCTTTCCAAACCCAAGTACTTAAAATATGCAAAACTACTTTGCTTTTTTTGTTTTGTAGAATTTGAAAAACAACTTTCATTTTTGACAGCATTAGTAAAACTTAGCATCGAAATCTAAGTGATGAAGTAGTGTATGTAATGTTCAAATAAATAAATCAATTATCATCAAAAGGAGTGGTAGCAAATGGGGTCTTTCTAATTAAGGTCTGACCCTGCTGTCAGTACTCCATTCTTGTGCGCAACGTTTTCAGAGTTGTGAATGTAACTCATGCTCACCAGGTCAGTCCCAGTTGATCTGTTCTCAAATTTAGAGAAAATAAGGCAAGTGCTTAAGTTCCGGTGAAAATTTGTCTGCTGTTGTTCAAGAACACATTTCACTACTGACTAGCACTTGCTTCTGTTACAATTCCTCAGCGAAGAACTATTTTCATATCACCTGCTCCTTAAGTAGGACATGAAATTTAACTTTGATTTGTAGAAACAGGTAGGTGCCTAAACAACACAGGGCACTGATGAGGTCTGATCTGGGGTGCATTCTGTGTTTGTAGTCGCACATGTTCAAGGTTATGGAAAGCACACACGGACAGCCATGAGCACTGGGGAACAGAGAGGATGACTGCCTTTTGTGAGGGGACCGAGAAAGTCTTGCTCGACTAGCCCTACAGAACGCATGCTGAGAGAGGATATGGTTGCAGTCTATTAATACATACTGAGATAAACACCAGGCAGGGAGATGAGCTATTTCAGGGAAGGACATTGTTGGCAAGAGAACAGATGACTACACAGTGGACACAAATTACATTTATCCTGGAAATTGAAAGATTTTTAATAGAGTGAGGTTCTGGAGCAGCTTCCCACTAGAGCAGTAGTGGGCAAAATAGTGATGTACTTCCCAACTAAAACTGGGTTAGTTTATGAAAGGCACTGGACGATATGGCTGCCTGTAACTGTAGCTATGATGTCCTGCAGTCCTCCAGTCATTACTTGCTTATTGGCCAGCCCTGGGTTATGCTCTTCAGGAAGCCTTTTCATTACCTTGTTCACAGAGAAGTTGAAGATATTGCTAGTATAAACTTAATACATGGGGAAAAATATACACAGGATGTGCAATTTAAGTAAATTAATCTTCCTACCTGCAAAACAAATAATGCATTTCTCTTCCAACACTGACATGTCCACTTGAGACCATCAGTGCGAGCTGCAGCTTGCGTGCATTGGTCATCACGGGACTCGTTGCATCCATTTGACTTCCTACACCGCAGGGTAGAGTCATCTCCCACAGCTCAGCACTGTGATTGCCAAGCACACCCGGCAGTTGTAGTTCTAATCCTCTTGCTAGGTAACGTATGCTGTTATGTGGTCCTGTCTCAATATTTTGCTGTAGCATGCTAAACTGAGTGCATTAAACACGGAAGTATACAAACAGAGTATTTTTGAGCTTAATCGTTCTTAAGGAAAACTTCACGTTTTCCTCAAGAGAACTGCTTTACTCAGTGTGTATTTAAAAAAAAAAAAAACATGAAGTAAAAATATTTTCAAGTGCCACGCCCAGGTCTGCAAATTGTAGCTTAATTCCACAGCTTTCATTAGGACTAATGAAAGATATACAGCTAAATTCCATGAAGAAAACAGCTTAGCCCATGCATAGCAGCAGTTGGAATACACTCAGTTAAAGCTCATCTGACATTAGACTTGATTTCACACTGACCTTGCTCAGCTGGCAAATGCTTTTCTGACTGTGTTTTGGCTTCTATGTCTGACATCCCCGACTGCCACAAACTGTGGTTAATTCTACGCAGATTAATTCTGCTGAAAGTCACACATTAAGAGGGTAGGAGGTTAACACCACAGTAAAGTAGATAACAGTAATGTCCACATCTGTATTTCTGGAATATTGGCAGAGCCTGAGTTTCCTTGGGACTCTACATAGAATATTATTGGAGTTGTGGAAGTTGAAGCCAGAAACACAACTGCATCCAGCTGAAACTTGAGAGGATGGAGAAACCTCGCACATTGTGGCTTGGATCCTCAGGAAAAAAACTGCAGATTGGTAAGTGCTTTTAGTGCACGCAGGTTTATGCCGCTTTTCTATGGAAATAAATATTGCCAGCTTTGCCACTACAAAAAAGTTCTTGGAGTCCAAGACCATCACATCTTGCCAAGTATAGCAAACCACTTCTATCAGAGGAGACATTTTGCACTAGATAAACTTGGAGCTTGTGTTACTGCAACTCTAATTCAAAGTTCCCATCCAGTGTAACAGTTTATTTTCCTTTAGCATATGTAACTTGTTATATTTTTTATTAAGTGCCATTGCTAAACTGACTATAGGGTGTGCTGCTTGAAAATGTAGTTTACACAATCTATGTGACAGAAAGTTACATATTAGCCACTTTTTAAGTTTCCAAAATCTACTTATGTGCCTTGTAGAGTATCTTTTATAATGCTTATCTGGTGAATGAAATAGCTTTTTTTTTTCTTTCCTGTCGGCATTGTGATAAAGAATGGATTAAAGGAACACATGGCTAGCTTGGCATTTTGTCAAGATATTTTTTCAGTGTTACTTTAAAGAACTATTTCAGTCAAATTCTGTGTTACTAAATGAACGAATGTTGAAAAATTTTCACAAGGGTTTTTCCAGAATATTGTATATTGCTTACCTGTGGGCAGTCTTTGATGTAGTGTCCCTTGTTAAAGCAGAGGTGGCACAAGTAGTTAGGAGGTGGCCTCTTGCTGGGTTTTCTGGCTTCTGAAGAAAGGGATAGGTCAGAAAAATGCTCAGTGAGGGAGCTTAACCCATCCACTATGTTGTTAAGAGAGCCATAAGGAGATGCACTCTTATACAGACTGCTGCTCAGAGCCTGCAAAAGAAAAGAAAAAACTTACATGAAATGTAGCATGTGAAACAAAGACTGTTTTCAGACTGATCTGGGTAAGGGAAGGATGAAAATGGCAGAAAAAAATGTGAGAAGTTTTTCATTAAGAACATGGCTACCTATTTGAGGGGAGCAATAAAGAGGTCATTAATGAAGAGGTTTCTTGAAGGCAGAGCTGGTCACCCCACTGCTGGGGAACCTACAGAGCTGGCCATGGTTCACTTAGCCCAACCTTTCCACTGAGCAGTGATTGCTTTCTTGTGTTTGATCGTACCGCAGTCGTGGTGTGGTTAGAACACACAGGCAAAAAGAACAACCCACAAAAGGCAACATTTTTGTGTCCAGAACTATTTACAAGAACAATACTGAAGTCAGGGAAAGGAAAAGAACACCAAGAAAAACACAAAATGATTTTTAATTTCCAATCCAGTTAACCTGATAGTCAATATAGAGTCCTGTGTTCAAGCAATAACAAGAAATGTTCAGATTAAACCTTCTGTGATTTAAATGTTTCCTGCTAAATGGTAAATACCTATTTTTTTGTACTTCACCTTTGTAGGATCTTCACTCTCTCAATATTCAAATCAAAACCCGAAACCCTTAATTTGTTATTCTGTAATTTTAAAACTAAAAGAAACCCATAATCACCTATATACATAATCTTCCTAATGGAGATAACAAGTATTCACTCTTTTTAATGTTCTAAGACTCAAAAGAAACTGTGTAATAGTAATTTAAGGAATAAATGGAAGCTTTCTTTTTTTTTGTGTTTTGTTTTGTATTTTTGAACATGGTAATGAATCACTGTAGGAACAGAACGAACCCATGTCCTTTTCACCCTGAAATGATGGGACACATTTGATAGGGTGTTTCTCTGTTAGGGCTCATATGCCTCACAATAGTGCTATAATTGTGTAATTCTACTGGCATCAAAGAATTACTGCTGACTTATGGGAAAGTGAGGTAAGAAGACATCCAATCTGTGACTCTATGGAGACCTTGTGTTTCAGTGCTATTAAATCCAAATATTTAAGTGGAGTCTTCAGATAGGTTATTCAGGTATTTTGAAGGTGTAGAGAAATGGGTTGAGATAGCTTGTCAAATAGATTTTAAAGGGGATTACATTTATCTCAGAGATCTCAAATATTCAGGATAGTGAATGTGGTTTCTGGGTATGAGTCACATATTGCGAGAATCCTATGGAAGCCCTAGGCACCACTCTGCCCACTCTTCCTGGAGTCAAACACAGCTTACTGAGCTCCATTAACCCCATACAAAGCCAAAGCTGGTGCACGGCAGCAGGATCAATCCAAAGGGACAGAGGGTGGTAGTCCAGAGCCCCAAACCCTGCCTTCACTTTCCCATTGACCTGCTTGCTGCCCCTGAGAAAGTGATTACAATTCTCTCTGCCCTTTTAGTCTGCGAGATGGAATAGCATGTTTTCTATTTACAAAACCATGAGCAGAATGAGTGTGATCTCACGGGGGACTTCACACATCTTCTGGCACTGAAATGCCCAACATTTAACTCCAGCACAGTGCCAATATAGTCCTGTTCAAGATGTTCTGGCTGCTGGGAGGAGAGTCAGCCACTTTGTTTCAGGGGTTAAACCTGTACATTTCAAAAGGAAAAGTTATTGCACAAACTAAAGAAAAGATTTAAGCTGCTTTAGTCATCAAGTAAGCAAAGATACCTCCAACAGTCCCTGGAATTTATTTTCTAGGATTTATTGGACACTATTGGAATGAGAAATTCTTGGCATCAAATTGCGAAAAGGAAAGGGAAGTGCTACGGATGCCAAAATACTATTAATTAAGGGTCTTCAAGAAGTTCTTGTCTCCCTAGGAGCCACTTTCTCTTACATACACTTGGAAAATACAAAATCTTTCTTAAGAGTCCCTCTTACTAAGAGATTCTTAAAGTACTTCACATGCATTAAACACATCAGTAACTTTGCAAATTCCCTATAACCTGATTTTTACAGAAGTGTGTATATCCACACAGAACGTGTGAAATCCCAAATTCTTTACCTTGCACTGAAACGTGGAACAACCCCTGGGGATGCAGAATGCATAACTCCTGCCTACCAGGAGGTGGCTGGTCCTGCCCCCAGGGCCAGACCCTTGAGAAGACCAAACATGCCTACCTGCTGCTTTCATTGGGCTTTGAATGGGACATATGGCTCACAGAGGTGACCGTTTTCCTTTCTACATATCCTTTACACTGAGCTGCTCCAACCATTATAGCAGAGCATGGCTGTGTTAGGGAATTCTCTCCAACACAGTTCTTGGCATTTTTCAGGTCAATGGGAGAACCAACAGGTTGTAAAGGTCACAGTTTTGGCCACCCCATCATTAAACTTTCTTTACAAATCTTTCTTTGTTTAAACCGTGGCAGCCAGAAGCCTTGTGACAGGCCAGGACTCCATCACAGACTACTGGCTGTATTGACATGAAATCTGTCTTCGCAGCCACCCACAGCTCTATGGCCAAAGTGTGACACATGGCTCTGAAAACAGCCACCCGGTTCAGCTGGCAGGGCATTTGTGCAATATGTGCCAAAGGTGGCCACACCAAAACACTGCCATGAGACACTTCTCTATAACCATCTTAAGGCCCAGTGTTAAAACAAGGAGAAAAAAAAAAAAAAAAAAGCAGATGATGGCTGAAGAGATATGGTGGACATTTTCAATGCCACTGGAGCTTCAAAGAACAATTATTTCATTAAGGAAAATTCCTAGACAATCCCAAGATGCAGATTGTCCTTCCTGGTACAGAGTCAGGCAAATTGCTTCAGCAGTTCCTGCCAGCCTGACCTGGAAAATGGCCGTACATCGGTTTAGCTGTGAGTCAATATGAAAAGCATATCAATCTGGCACTTGAAAGATGCCATGAAGAGCAGCAATGCAAACAGCGCTACATCCTGTCCCTAGCTGTGGAAATCTCCAGTTCTTCATAATGAGATGAGGAAAAAAGACATTCCAAAAAGCCCAGTTATATAATAAGGGTGGTGGTGGGAAAATTTATCCTGGCCCTGGAATGAAATAGCAAAAGCCCAGGAACATGTAAAGAACATGATGAAAGCAAATGGTGATTTAGCCCATCCTGTCTTTGTAGAAGACAAGGGATGAATGAATATTGCTGAGATACATAAACCAGTGTTTTTTGTCTGGGACACTTAGCAAATCAGCAACCTAGTCCTTGCTGAGTGTTTGCACTGCTGCAAAGGGGATTTTTAAGGGGGGTTTTGAGCAAAAACTTTGAATTAGTTTCACACTTAAAATGTCCAGGGGATGATCGGGGTGACGGGTAGAATGCTGATGGTTTTATAAAGATGACAGTAGGCAGGGAAACAGGAAGGAAGAGGGAAATGTATTCTGACTCGTTCCGACTTTGAGCAGATCTATGAGATGCCAGGGAGACCGCTCCTCTGAGGGGAACCACCAAAAGCAATGACCGCTTTGTGCCCACGAGGTGCCCCTAGCAAAGTCAGCCTGTTTCCTTAAAATGAAGATAATACTTTTAAACCACAAATAATACCTCCCACTAGGAGCAGAGCAGGATTTGAGCTTGGCAGTGAAAGGGTTAGTGCTCTGAGGGAGCCTAGAGACCACACTGCATGTCTTAATTAGGAGGCTCATCAGCCCAGCTGCAATGAATTCAGGATTTCCTTATCTTGCTGCACTGGGAGGGTGGGGGAGCTACTGGTAAAACTTAGAAACGTGCTTGGTGGGAAGTTCTGGCTGATAACGTAAGTTTGGTTGTTGTTTTTTGGTGTTGGCGGGTTTGTTTTTCTTCTTATTGTGAAGCTTGTTGACTCAGTTGAATGGGAACCAAACTGAAAATCTGGTGGTCTGTTTTTAGAAGGTAACCTCTCTGCTCTGTAGGTCTTCAAACTGCATCTGTTGGTGGTGCTGGGAAGTAAGGCTTCCTTTGTTATTTGTTTGCAAAGTGTTTCCAGTTAAAGGGTATGCAATCAGTAAGGTTCCAGTCCAGCCCTTTGTGACAGAGGCAGCTATTGTCTTCTCTAGCTGCCTTACCCTGCTCCCAGTTGGGCAACATATGTGAGGGACTGAGGGGTTCCAGTGTCCAGCTCACCTCCAAGAAATGCCTGCTTATGTGAAGGATCTGGCAAACGCTCTTGATTCCCTTGGCTGGTCCCCGCCTTTCAGAGACAGCTCTGGGGATCCACGTGCCAAGAGGTGGATAAGGAAACACTGGAACAGAATTTCTCTCTTCAGCTACTTTTTCAGCATTGGTATGATGTTAAAAATTAAGGAAGTGGTGCTATACGCAGTGTGATGATGCGTGGCACACTTGAACAAATAGGTGATAAGCCTTTCTTTCCAACCATCTCCTGGTATGGCTATTGCTTTAGCTGTAAAGGTATTTTTTTTTTAACTATGGTTAGGAAGGACAGATACCATAATAGCATTTCAATTATGACAACATTTAATTTTGTCCAAAGGTGATGGGATTGCGAGTTTTTCCAGAGCCCTTGCTTACAGCTGATATTAATAATTGATAACAATCTGCTTAAGTGGGAATGGCACCTTGTTATTAGGATTTATAGAGGCTGATTTATTTATTTATTAGGATTTATTTAGGTATGGGATGTAGTATGTAGAGGCATGCCTGGGAAACTCAGTTTCTGCCTGGAGTTCAGTTTCTGGCTGCTGAACCCTGAAGGTGGTGGTAAGGGCTGCAGATCCCCTCGTTACCCAAAGCTGAAATGACCTGTGTTGGTTTAACTGGTTGGCAGTCTGTGCCTGGCCAGTACATTTGTTTAGGGCCCTTGGGTTGTTTGGTTTTATTTTTATTTGTGAATTACACTTCAAATATATATACTTTATTTATCCCTGTCCCCTTGAAAAACAAAATTCAAACAAACAAAGCAACCAGCCAAATAAACAAAACAAGCTAACAAACAAAACCTTATACTGGTACCCAATACTTCACTAGTTAAAAAAGAGGACGGAGAGAAGT